GCCTCCATCCCCCAAACACAAAGCGACTTTCGATCCGCCCTTGTCTCCAGGAAGACCGACATCTAGGGGCTCATACACGTCATCCAAGGCAGCGTATGAAGATACTGCGTTTGGTACTATCACCACGGAACCGGGCCCACGAGTGTCGACAGCAAATAGTGTGGCTTCTTCGGGCTCTAGGAAGAGCCTGAGAAATCAGTTTGGCCTCCTCAAGAGGCCATCTCGAGAATTTTGCAGTGATAAGGACAGGAATACCGAACGGCTACGCAAAACGTGTAGCTACAACGACGGCCTGAGACACAATATACCGCGCAGTCGTGCTAGTATACGTTCGTTGTGTTCTATGGCTGACGTCGTGGAGGAGACACGCCCAGTGCGTGCAGCCACCGAGCCCAGCAGGGAACCGACATTCAGCAGGCCCTCCAGTAAGGAACGCCATTCGTTGCAAAGCGCTCGCGAGAGTGCGCCGAGTACACCTGGCGGTATTGGTAGCGGACGTGTTATTCCTGCTCGCGAGTCTTCGTTGCGCCATAGCTTTTCTTCCAGCCCAAAGCACCGCAGATCCACCCGTCATAGCCGGTACTCTTCAACCAGTAGCAGAGAGATGAAAGTGGACAGTGCGGTATCGGGCGTGGGCAACGAAGCCGAACAGGTAACGAAGCGAATACAAGAATTGAAAGACCAGCAACAAAAGATCAAGAGCGAACTAGAAATAGATGATACCCCGGAGAAGCCTTCTAAGCCTGCCCCCGCCGTCGCATCTGCCCGGGAGATGCAGAATGCTAGTGCCAGCAGCGGAACGATGGAGCATAGGCAGATCGTCCGCCAAGCAAATGGTGGCTTCGACGAGAGTGCGCCGGCCCCAGCAGTCATGACGGGCAAGAGCCGCTCTTCGCTGGCCTCGAAGTCAATCAGTAACCCGCCACCGTCTCTGGAGAGATCTGATCAGCTTGCTCGTTACCGTGGTCCTTTGGAACAATCGACCTCAGCCTTTACCCATAAGCGCTCCCCATCCGGCTCTGCTACTCCCGTTGGTGTCTCGAGTGGGGAGGAACGCCCCGCAAGTGCCGATTCCATTGATCTTGCGGTCTACGACTACATATCTTCCCCGAAACTTACCCAGAAGGTGTCACATCCTACATCAGGCCGTACCATAGCGTTCTCCGAGGTTGGAGATCCTAAGGGATATGTGGTACTTTGCTGTCTTGGAATGGGCCTCACCAGATATCTGATGGCGTTTTACGATGAGCTGGCACGATCACTGCGCCTGCGGCTCATTACATTGGATCGCCCCGGTGTGGGAGAAAGCGGCCCCTACGTCGACGAGGTGGGAACTCCCCTCAGTTGGCCTGGTGAGTATCCTCCAGTTTGGTTGTTGCCTTGTCCTTACTAATGATTGTATCCCAGATGATGTCGCCATTGTGTGCAACCACCTCAAAGTTACCAAGTTTTCAATCATGGCGCACTCTGCGGGTGCTATCTATGCGTTGGCTACTGCGCTTCGGATCCCACAGCATATCCGGGGCCGCATTCATTTGTTAGCACCCTGGATTCCACCTTCTCAGCTGTCTAGCATTGGCTCGCAAAAGGCTCCGGTCCCCACGAATGCCGTCCCGTACTCCCAGCGAATTCTCCGAGCCCTACCGACGTCCATTCTCAAGGTGGCCAATTCAAGCTTCATGACTGCAACCAGTGCAAGCCTGACCTCTAGCCTCCCAAAGTCTCCGCGCCGGGCTAAACGGAAAGGGCTGCTCAAGGATAGCTCCAGTCCCACCGGCGCTGAAGCCAAGAGCACGCAACGGCTCCCATCCAAGATCTCCCAGCAAGGGGCAGATTTGAAGGCCCTTGAGGGACTGAAGGCATCTGATTTCTCTGCTGCCGAGGGATACCCGAAGGCTGACCCCACAGCAAGTCAGGCCTTACTTTCCACGACGCAAGAACGGGAACGCCAGACCGATTACGATAACCGACTTACACATAAGATTTGGGAGCTAGCGACTACAAATGCAAACCCGGCGGTAGATCTGCTGGTCTGCTTGGAACGTCGTCAGCCCATTGGCTTCCGATATGTGGATATCACCCGCAACGTTGTCATCCACCATGGCAGCCGGGACACCCGTGTCCCGGTTGACAATGTCCGATGGCTGGGGCAAATGATGCGACGATGTGAGGTTCGCGTGCTGGAAGGAGAGGGTCATGGGCTGATGGCCTCGGCGGCAGTGATGGGCAATGTGCTCATGGAGATTGCCAAGGAATGGGAAGATTGGATGATCGTGGTCCAGGGCAAGCGCAGAGCTACCGTTGGAACACGTTCAGGTATTGCAGTTCAAGCGTGATGAAGGTTATGCGGTGCATGCAATTTGTTGCTCATATAAGGAGGAGGAAGAGAAAGCCGGTGAAGACCCCCGTTTACTGGATGGAGTCTAGAATGGGTCAACCCTAACCGCTGCAGGTTCTGCGGTGCTTTGCTGCGGCTGTTGTTCCTCCACATGTGTGTCTATCTAGGGCGTGCCGCTAGCAAGACTTGATGCCCTTGTTCTTGTTTTTTCCTTTGCTTTTTCGTGTTTTTGATCATGATACCATCCCCTTTATTAGCTCCATACCCCGATCATAGCATACATAGAGATACCTGCTAATATAATGCATAATCAATGTTTGTGTCAGTGCAAGAGATGGGAAGGAGTAAATTAGCCAAACTGTCTAGGCGTCAGTAGTTAGGCTATAGATAGTTATGCTATGTTGTAGATGTTGACAGGACTACTACGTAGCAGTAGTAAGTAGTTAACTAAATGAAGGGCGGGCCAACCCCGACTAGCTGTTTCTGCCCCACTTGCTCTCATGAATCGGAATCCTTGCCTTGTTCTCCCCCCGTAAAGTAAACCTCCCCCAAAGTTTCCCCCCATCCGTCATCTACTTCCCCTCCATCCTTATCCTGGGGGTCTAATCTATTGTATTATTATTATTCTTGAAGGTGTCATTCTCATATTCATTATCTTCATCTGATACCAAATCTCGAGCTTTGCAGAGGCTTCGTGGTTGTCTGCTCGCCCAATGTCCAGCTATTCTTGGAATTGGAGCTGCGCCTATGACCTGTCGGCTCAACCAGCCTACTCTTGAACCACGCGAACGCATGCGCATAGCTGCCACTGGCTCGGAATCCTTGTGACGTATAGCAATTACTCAGTATCGGCATCGTGAGAGAGAAAAAGAGGGAGAGAGTTCTACATTTCTCGCCCGAATCACCCACCCCCTTCTCTCTTTTCCTTCCTGCCTTGTTCCTGTTTGGACGTGGTGTCGCGCATTTGTCAAGATGCTTTCGCAGCGGCGCATTCGGCTTCTGGCCATCGCTGTGGTGGTCATAATCATCATGACTTTCTACTATTCGGTAATATACTCCATGGCATCGTGACCATACGGAGGTTCAACGTTACAATGGCTAATGCGATGCATGAATTCCATAATAGAGTGAAGCCCGGAGTGTTCAGAACCAACAATTCTACCGATCAACCGTGGCGGCGATGGAGGCTCAAAAGCAGGCAAAGGAAGCCGGAACAGCAGCCAACATACCCCCACAGAAGGACCAGCCCAAACAGAACCCTATCAAGGAAGAGACGAAGCCTGCCATGGACAACGATAGGGAAGAACCGGCGATCCCCAAGGCCAACAATGATGCGGACGAAGTAGAAGAGATCCCGATTGCAGGCAGAACCAAGATGACAGTACCTAAGAATCGAAATGATCCGGAGAAAGAGACGTCGGAACAGCTGCAAGAGCAGAAACCGGAGACAGATGATCATGCGGCCGCCGTGGCCGAGCTGAATGGAATATTGAAGCGGGCACCAAGTACGCAGTCTTTCTGTTTCCTTTCCTACTACGGGAGACCTTCCTCCTGGTGTTTAAGAAAGTTTGCTAACCTATGTACTGCTGTCTCCAGTCATTGTATTCTCCAAATCCTACTGTCCGTATAGCGCCAAGGCGAAGTCTATCCTCTTGGACAAATACTCAATTGTTCCTGCACCTTTTGTGGTGGAGCTTGATAAGCATGAGTTGGGTCGACCGCTGCAGGCGTTGCTGGGAGAAAATACCGGGCGTCGCACTGTCCCGAACGTGTTGGTCAACGGGAAAAGCATTGGAGGAGGGGATGATGTGACGGCTCTGGATCAAAAGGACGAATTGGCTTCAACATTGAGAAGCTTGGGGGGTAAGTGGGTCCAGGAGGTCCATCGTAAAGAATGAAGCCACTAGGAAGGCAGCAAAGAGATAAATGCCTAGTATGGCCGGATTGACAGAAGCAATGGGGTTTCTGTTTTCGAACCAGCAGGCCAGGCACTGAAACCATGGTCTCCATTGGCATCCAAATGGGCTGGCTGGATGGTTCCCAAGCACTACGGATTTGTACAACATAATATGGGAGGTATTTTCCCTAGTGGGTGAAGGGTTTTATGTATTCTAAGTACATAGTAGGGGTGGGTAAACAGGCGATATTTTCATACGAAGCATACTAGTAATAATTGACACCACGATCTTTTATATAATAAAAACTTCTAATAATTGGCTTGTGTAGTATGGAGTCTAAATAGCCTTGAGAGATGAGAACATTGCCAGCTGCCCGTAATGCGTGGGGAGCAAGCATGAAGCGAAGGAAGAACTTCTCATTTGGCAGCATTTATTAGGACAAATGATTGATAACTTGGAGTACAAAAGAGAAAGATGGGTATAATTATTCATTATATGATTATTGCCATTCATTATTATAATTGTTAGGCTAATTATTATCTTTCTGCCCGTGAAAAATACCATGAACCAAAAGACGGGTCGGGACTAGACCCAAAACGGGCAGCCCTAGGCGGACAAGAGGACTAATCCGGATTGGGCCGTAAGCGACGCACAACCCGTGATTTTCGCTCCACCACTCCTCGACTGCGGTTTGCCTTGTCGAATTTCGATCCTTTTGACGACCGACCGCTCGACGATATCGACAATTCCCTCGCGGACACACCACAGCCCACGCAGTCAAGATGCGGTACATTTACTCCGAGGAACGGCTGCCTATCCCCGAGAATGGTGAGCTTCGATTTATTCCCCCGATCCTTGTCGCTCTGTTCGCTGTGTGAACGCGGAGGAGGGTCTGGACGGAGGGACAGGCATGGCATCGAGGATTTGGGAAGGGAGGTTGAGGATAGCGCTGCGCCAGTCACAAACCGGCAATTGCTAGGGGAAGGAAGAGAAAAAAAAAAGAAAGAGAGATGCTACACTGAATGCCTGTCCCCGCGATCGATTCTTGCGATCTCAGTTTTGCGTGATATGATAAAAAGGACATGGGACTGATTCGAATCTCCTCATACAGTGAAGGTTCACATTCGCTCGCGCATTGTGACCGTTGAGGGACCCCGAGGTATGCAAATTCTCCAACAACCCACCACGACCCGGCCCTTTGGAACAATTTCGACCAATTTGTTCTACATGGCGTTTTGTGGCCTACGGCTCGAGCCATGTGCCCCATCCGTCTGTTTACAGCGACACTGACATGAACCCTTTTTTCCCCCCTTACAGGCAAGCTCGTCAAGGACCTCTCCCACATTGCCGTCACCTTCGGCCGCCCCGAGAAGAATGTCATCTCCATTGAGATGCACCACGGTGTCCGCAAGGGAATGGCCTCCCTTCGTACCGTCCGCACCCTCATCAACAACCTGATCATCGGTGTCACCAAGGGCTTCAAGTACAAGATGCGCTACGTCTACGCTCACTTTCCCATCAACGTCAACATTGAGAAGAACCCCGAGACCGGCCTGCACGACGTTGAGATCAGGTATGCCGAACTCAATCTACTCGCACGCACATCGAAGACTGGGGGGATGAGCCGGGATCCGACCAAAGGATTTTTTTAAGTCTTTTCCCGTTCGGGGTTCCAGCTGCTTCCTACCAGTGCTTGGGTCAAATTGTCATGTTTTTGGAGGAAAGAACATTTTGCTGATGGGTATTGCGTTTTACAGAAACTTCTTGGGTGAGAAGTACGTCCGCCGTGTGACCGCCCAGCCTGGCGTTGAGGTCATCACCTCCCCCAACGTTAAGGATGAGCTCCAGATCTCCGGTAACTCCCTGGAGGGTGTCTCCCAGAGTGCTGCCGACATCCAGCAGATCTGCCGTGTCCGCAACAAGGATATCCGTAAGGTAAGAAGAATACCAACCAGATAACTTTCGATTATCTCGATTGATGACTGACATGATGATTTCTTTGCACAGTTCCTTGACGGTCTGTACGTGTCGGAGCGGGGTAACATTGTCGAGGAGTAAACGGTGGTTGTCCGCCTTGGTGGGTAGTGACGGATGTCTGGAGAATCTCTTTTTTTCGCCTACTTGCATAGGGAAGCAACGCGGAATTTAAAACCAAAATCATGGAATTCAAATGCCCCCCCCCTTGACGTGTTTACGGATCGGGATGACTCCTTGTACCTCCGTTGGGAGAGAGAAAGAGAAGTGTGTGCGTGGTGTGTAGACAAAAATTACCGGTCGGCTTTTACTGAGCAATCCAAATATCCTCTTTTCTGTTCCTTATCGACTTTTTAGACGGATTCCCCTGCCATGGATTTGCTGCGTAGTCGAGTGATCAGAATGAGTCGAGGTAAGTTTGATTATCATAATAGTATATAGATCATGGGAGTGATTTCCATGTATTTTCAATGGTTTGCGGGGGAGGCCCTTCCCCCATCTTTGTGTATGTCATCATCGTCTTCCACTTTCCTCTTTCCTCTTCATTGTCTTCCAGCCTGCCTTTTTCCCCTCACCACTTTTCTCCGCACCACCTCTCGTCGTATACCCATGAGGTTTTCTGATTTTCCAGGCTTCTTATTTATATGACATTATTCCCTCCCCTCCACATGCTTGGTGGCTTTCCCTGCTTGTCCAGACCCTGCTGACCGCGTCAAGCATGTGAATGTCGCTTCCCCTCGCCATGTGCCAACGCTGTTCTTGATTCCCCGCCGAGTCAAAAAAAGCCCGGTTATTTCTTTCCAGTCGCAATGGGGTCCTGGACGACCATCTGCCGAATATTCTTCGCTGTCCTAAATATGATACTCGACGTCGCCTTCTTCTGGAAAGAAGTACGTTGTCCCCTGCAGTCCCGCCCTGCCGTGGATGTGGATGAATGCTACAAGCTAGTTCAACTGGTGCTGGGCAGGTAGCTAACGCAGCTCTCCATCTTAAGCGATTACTGTCCTGGTGGAGATCAAAGTCTCCCCGGAAGCGACTGCAACATGTTCTGAGGACAGCATCCACCTTTGAGGAATGGGAAGAGGCTGCTTTCGAGCTTGATGAGCTCCTCAGCATGGATCTCTGGTGAGCAGACTCTCCCTTCCTGCCGAATAACTACTCCGGCGTCCAAAGCATCTCCAATCCCTGTCCTTTCCTGACTCTCCTGTTTAGGCGTCAGAATCCTACAAGCCGGCATTATGACTACCGACTGATCCTGGGTCGACTGGAGGCTCTTATGAGCGCTCGCGAGGATGAGGATATCCTGACCCTTGCGAACCTGCTTCGCTCCGGGTTACTCCGTAATCTGGGCAACATCACCTCACCTAAGATGTTTCTGCATGCCTACGCCGGCACCAAGCTTCTCATAGATGACTATATCACACAAGTCGCGCTCTCGATTCAACAGGTCACCGCTCTACAGACGGCTCCGATCCACGACAGCGGATTCTCGTCGCAGGCAAAGCTTGAGCTTCTGCACGATACTCGGCAGGCCTTCGGGAGAACGACCCTACTATTACAGGGCGGTTCCATGTTCGGACTCTGTCACCTCGGTGTGGTGAAGGCTCTCCATTTGCGTGGCCTCCTGCCAAGGATCATCACCGGGACAGGGATGGGGGCGCTCATTGCAGCATTGGTGGGTATCCATAGCGAAGATGAGCTGCTCACCTTCCTGGACAGCGGTGCCATCGATCTAAGCGCCTTTGATCGTAGGCGGCGGATGAAGCGGCCAGAAGAAGAGAGTTGGTGGTTGCCCACTAATCTCGGAGACAGTTGGCTGGGGACACTCTTGCGGCGAGTCAATCGATTCATCCAGAAAGGCTACTTCCTTGATGCGGAGGTGCTGGAAGAATGCGTGCGCGCCAATCTCGGTGATCTCACTTTCGAAGAAGCATATGCCCGGTCCAAGCGCATACTCAATATCACGGTTGCCACATCAAATAAAAACGCTACCCCGAATTTGCTGAACTACTTGACTGCACCGAATGTGGTACGTGACGAAACACATACGCTCTCTCTGCCCCCTATCAACACTGGACGGACTATGGTCTAATTCCTTTCACAGTTGATCTGGTCCGCCGCTGTAGCCTCCAACGCATCCAACAACTCACTCTACCAGCCAGTCACAATATACTGCAAAGACGAAACAGGCTCGATCGTACCTTGGCCGCATTCTCGGGATGCAACCTTCTATCAATCCTGGCGTCAAGGTCAATACAAAGAGGAAGAATCACCGCTAGCCCGGATTGCCGAGCTATTCAACGTCAACCATTTTATCGTGTCGCAGGCCCGACCATACCTCATCCCCTTCCTGCGCTCAGACTCAAACCTACTGGACCGTCGCCCAACCGACCAATGGAGCATCACCCAAGCTCTAATGCGTCTCTTCACTGCCGAGCTCCACCACCGCCTCGGACAACTAGACTACATGGGCCTCCTTCCAGCCACTCTTGCACGGCTCCTCATCGAGGAGACCATCCCTGGCCCCCATATCACCCTCGTCCCCGACGTCTCCCTCCTGGACCTCCCCAAGCTCTTCCAGAATCCAAGCAAAGACCGTCTAGCTTACTGGTCTCTCAAAGGAGAGCGAGGCGTCTGGCCCGCCGTCAGCGCATTAAAAGTCCGTTGCGTCATCGAAATCGAGATCGACAAGGGCTACCAGGTCGTGCGTCGACGACAACCATCCGAAAACGCCCCATCAACGCCGCGTCGCATGCCCAATGAAGGACTCCCGCGTCGCCGTAGAGGCTATAGCATTGATTATGGTAGAGATATGCTGAATTTCTCTGGAAGTCTGGACTGCCAGGATGATTCAAACTATTAGAGTTTGGTACATACCAATCTTTGATGCTTGTGCGGCAACTTACGCACGTTTTGCTCTGGTCATCACCTACTACTTAATTTTATTATGGACTATATATATATAATGCGATGTATCGTAAGATACAGTAAAGAGATACATTGCGTTGTTACTAGTAAGTTAGCTGTAAACGGTATCTGTATCGGCTGCGGATATATATACGTGGAAGTGTACCCAATGGATAATGATGATCTACTTTGCTGAGGCTGGAGCTAATGCTACCTTGAATAGTTCCGAACATTACTATGACATTACCTTCGCAAATCGATAATACTATCCATATGCGCCGTCTATAACGGCCCTATATTATGTTGCGGTTTTCGCAAGATGGACTTTCCAGTTTAACTCGGCCCAATCGGGCGACTGGATTTACACTGAATACCATAAATGTATAGTTCGATTTGGAACAGTTCACCTCACGTACGGATTTGCATATCGACATTTGAAACAAGCATAAGGTTTGCAGAGAAATCAGGTACACTCAGAGTATCAGGTGTACGTTGGTAATGAAAATAAGGCAGAGCAAATACAGTGACCACCGTTAGACATATCGAGATCGTAAAAGTTTTGTGACTGACTAGACAAATGAGCTGTAAAGTCATATCATCTCAACCGATGCCAGCGGTCCCTTGAAAGCTATGATATGGTTAATTACTTTGCAATATACTTTGTAATATGGGTGGTGAAGACATACATGTCCGCGCATGCACGGCGTACCAGAATGCCGAGATGGCCATGAATCCTACGACGACAACAGAGCCGTAATTCATGGAAACACGAGTGACAGGCAGCGAGGTTGGCATACTGAAGAGAACCAGCTCGAAGGCAATCCAACATAAAGCGATGACGTTGACGATTGGCCCGAAGATGGGACCGCAGGTCCATGGAGCTTGGGACACCTCGCGACGACCGTTCAGGAGGCTCAGTGCAATGGGGATAGCGTACGAGACTGCGAGAGCGATGACACCCGCGGAGACAAAGGCAGTGAAGGCCTCGCTGCTACCGAGGTTAATGAGCCCTAGAAGCATCTGAATGACGGTGCCGAAGGTCAAGGACCAGACAGGTACGCCAAGGTCCGGGTGTACGCGCGCCCATAATCGCGAGAGAGGGATAGCGTCATCTCGAGCGATCGCCCAACTGGCTCGTGAAGCGCAGACGGTAATGCTGAGGCTAGCGCAGAAATTGACGATCAAAACAAGCACAGTGAGAGCAAGGCCGCCGCCGGGACTGTCCATGACTACATGGAAAATATATGGCACGACTTGGCCAACAGGGGCATTGATGACATCTTCCAAAGGGGGAATGGTGAAGCAGATGGGGAGGATGAAGAATAGACCTGTTATGCACCCGACGGGGACACAGAGACTGAGGGCCCATGGTACTTCCACGGCTGGCTTGTTGCATTCTTCTGCCATGGATGCAACCATGCCGATGGCACAGAACGTGTATGCGGGCGCGAGAAGTCCAATGAAGAAGGAGAAGCCCGACCATCCCGACAAGCTGGAGTCGTAGTGACTTAATGCATAGGCAGCACTATGCCTGCCGGCACCCGCCTTCACGGAGAGCGCAATAAGGATGACAAGAATTGTAAGCACCGTCCAGAGTGCGCAGATCATGTCCACCTGAGGTAGATACCGGTTACCGAATGTACAGATAATGAATGCCCCCAATAAGACAGCGTATAAGATCAGCAGAAGTTGCCAGCTAGTGATCGTCCATCCTGGACGGAACATTGAGATCGAGGCCGCGGCTATGGATGCAAACCCGAAGTTGACCGATAGAGTGATGGTCCAATTGCCAACCAGCCAAACCCAACAGGTAACGAAAGATACAGCTGCTTTAGAGCTTCCTGCAACCCGGTATGACCAGTAATACGGCCCAGCTGAGGTGGGATATCGAGACGCGAGTTCAGCAAGTGAGAGGGCGATACACTCGCATAAGAGGCAAACGACAATCCAGCCGACGAATATGGACAATGGGCCGCCGCCATAGATGGCGTCGAGGAGAGGCCCTCCTTCTCCAAAGGGGATCGCGGCAATGGCTAGTGTCTGGAAAAGAAGAGTGAAGACCGAGCGGTTACGACGCAATTGCGGCTTGTACCTCGAGCCTTCGAGCCTGTCCTGCTCGTGTTTGTCTCCTAGTTCTGATATTTGTGCGACTTTTTCCTGGGCAGGGCTGCTAGGCCCCGCCAGCTCGTCATCTTTGGTCGCATCCATCGCAAGAATTAACCCAGGCGGTTAGATCAATGACAGAGCTAAACCGAGTGGCAAGCGTTTGTGGGATATACATGAAAGATTGTGCCCGCTGCCCCTGGGCTATCTAGCAGCCCGGAAT